GTTAGCCTCGAGATGTGTAAGATTTGAGATTTGTTTTAAATATATTAGGTTTGAGTGTTTCTCTTTTGTAGAGGGAGATATGTGCCATTTGGGTTGCGTGTATCTACAACATTTTTTTAGGATAATGATCACCAAGTTTTATGAATTAGATTTATTTATTCACAAGTCTTGAGTAAAAAATTCTAAATATTTGTCCTGTGTTTTGATAATGACAAAATTTAGAAACTTTTTATAGGTATGTTTTGTATTTATGGAATGATCATTTAGTATTGGTAATGATATTAAAAATTTTATTAAAGTAACAAATAATTTAGACATTTTGAACTTTTTTTTGTAGGTTTTAATTTATGTTTTGTTTAAACATATTAATTTATATTGAAATATGATGTGAAAAGTGTAAGTAATTGAATTAATTTTTTAAAAGAAACATTTTTATACTGATAAATTTATGAATGTTAGAGCAGAACTTATTATCTATCTTCTATCTATCTATCATCTATCTATCTATCTATCTATCTATCTATACTATTATAAAGTGAACACCTCTCATGGTGTCTTGAAACCTTTGTTTCTTATGCTGCCATATGTCTATTTTTTTATTTGAAATAAAAAAAAAAAATAGATAGATGAGAGGAGGGGATTTGAACCTTAAACTTATATCAAATGAATAAGACTTTTACCACTTAACTAGCACACAATATATGATAAATATTTTATTTCATTTTTATTTATTTGAATTGCACATACATCACGTATCCCAACCGCTAGTTGCTAAATAAGTCTAGTCCATAACTGCCCCTTTTTCTTTTGCTACTAAAAACGTTTACTCACCAAAAAATAGTTGTATTAAGAAGAAGAAAAAAAAATGGATACAATTTTTGAAAATAATTTGTCAAACAATTTTTAATATTTTTTAAAAAATAAAAACACAATCAAATAAACCCTTAACTCCTCTTCTTTTTTTTTTAATTTATTTATTTCCCTTTCATAAATTGAAGGTCCAAAACACTGCAATTATGGCCACAAACACACCATCTAAAGAATTGAAGAAAAGTCTTTTTCCAAAACATAAAAAGACTGCAATGTTGGTGACTACAATAAATTTTTCGAAGGGAAAGGCATGGAATGCATTGAACCTGTAAAGTGAGGTATGATTTCTTATTCAAACTGAAAACATGGAATGCATTGAACCTGTAAAGTGAGGTATGATTTCTTATTCAAACTGAAAAGAGTAATGCTAGAGACCCCAAATATTCTACCAAAAGTTTTACCAAATGTCTCACATGGGTGTGGGACCCACACAATGTGGGTCCCATGTGGGCCTCATACCCATATGAGATATTTGGTAAACTTTTAGTAGAATTTTTGAGACCTCTAGCATTTTTGAACTGAAAAGGAACCTTTTGTTTTTGCTTTTTTGACTTGTACCAAAAGACAAAGAATTAATTTTGAGCATTTAAAGCCCCAAAAGGGTAAGAAAACTGAAAATTGAAGGGTACCATTGGGAAATGGCACAAGCCAATGGTTGACATTTCCAAACGGGGTAGCTCGTCTCATATTTGAGATTAAGATAGATCGTTTAATTCAATTTATGAAGTTATTTTTGAATCTTGTTTCGATAATCTGAATCGTTCAATGTGTAAAATTCGTCGAGTACTATATCTTTGTAAAAATTTACATTGATCAGATATTGACAGCTATTTGATCAGATAAATTTCTGTCAACCGTTTATTTTTTTACTGTATATTTTTTTAATACAAATCTAATCGATCAAATAACTATCGATATCCGATCAACGTGATTTTCTTTACAGATATAGTACTCGACGAGTTTTATACATTGAACGGTTCAGATTATCGAAACGGTGTCCAAAAATAGACACATGGACCGAACTAGACGATCCAGCCTTGATCTCAAACATGAGACAAGTTAGACCCTTCCTTAATGACATATATCCATCTTACTGTGTTTTTTAAGTTTTAAATCACTTTGAGCAATAATATTATTGGACATAATTTATAAACTTTCATGTAGATACAAATTAGTCAATGTTGGGTCACAACTTTCACTTGCATCACTTACACCATAAAATGCAACTTTTCTTTTTAAAAACTAGAAATTGAAGTGGTACCAATGGAAAGGGCAAAAAACAATGGATGAAATGATGGGATGACTTCTTCACATTGTGTAGCTAACTATCAACTATCTTTTTTAACTCTATAAAAATTGCCTCTCCTTTATAAAAAAATAAAATAAAAAGAAAAAGGTAAACAATGGTTGAAGACATTGACACGTCCCAATGCCATACATATCTATCTTATCTTTACACTTGTGATATAATGCTCATTTAAAAGACGGTTCCTAAATTTAGTTAATGCCGATAGTGCCTACCGCATACATCTCAACCACATTTTCTTTTTTAAATTTAGGAAATTTATAAAAACATATAAATACAAATTCTTGTTACTTGCAGATATGTCATATTTAAATGGGACCCATTACATGATAGGTACAATTCAACTGCATACACATTTGTGAGTAAGAATAATTTGTAAAATTTGTGTATGTGCGAGGTAAATTATATTTTTCACCCATTTTTTTTGGGTACCCTTGTCAACTAATTATCCACACTCCACCTTATATCAAAAGTATAGCCATCGTATGATCTAGAGTGAAATGTAAAATTTATTAATGTGTTGCACACAAATTAAGGGCTTGTTTGGCATGATTTAAAAAAGTCAAAAAGTTAAAAAGTCACTATCCTATTTAAGTCACATCATCTTATTTAAGTCACATCACCTCTCTAATACATCACTTCAAACCCAACCCATACCCAACCCATATTTCATAAAAAGTCAAAAAGTACACTTATTTAGATCATCCTAAACCACCCTTAAATTGAGCCGTGATAAAACCAAAGAGATAATTTTGCCCTTTCTTTTACTTTCCTTTTCTTATCTCATCCTGTCACTCGTGCTCTATGTTCGCCTTGGTAATTTTCATATATTTTATGGTGATATGTAAATGCATACATCAAGGGAATCAATTTACCTGAGTAAAAATTGTTGGTCATATCTTCCTCATCTCATATATCTATCAAATTGTAACTAAAACTAGGTTCTGGATTTACTACTTGAAATTTTATTTTGCAACAGAATCACCATGGGTGGTGGCTTGTTTGGTGCTCTAATTCAATTATGGATTGATTGTCATGTGTGAGATGGGGTAACCAATCGTGTAGAGATGATGGTGGTGATAGTTGAGTGAGTGGTTTGATTTCAAAAAGAGTTGTCGTAATGATGACATAGAGGGGGGAGGGGGAGGGGGGAATTGAGGAGTTACTGCCAATCTCTAATTTCTCTTCTCACATCTCCCTCTTCTCCCCAAAATAAAAAAAATAAAAAATAAAAACCATCTCTAAGGCAATCACTGCCACCATCTCGGTTGGCAACAACATCAGTGCCATCCTTCTCCTTCCACTGTCACTTTTCCCCACCATCATCTTCGCTCTCCTATCTCCCCTTCACTTGTTGCCCACCATCTCACTCTCTCTTCTAGATCGCCAACCCCCTCCCCCCATTCCTCTTCTTCTTTCCTCTATCCGGGTGTACGGTCCTACCCCTCTTCACCTCCACAGCTCTCCATTCTTTTTTTTCTTCTTTTTCTTCTTCTTCTTCTTCTTATCATTATTATCATTATTATTAGTATTTGTTTGAAAACCCTAGATCTAGAGTGGAAAGGTCATGATTGAGGAGGAGGAGGGTGCGAGAAAAGGAATCTCTAGTGGGCGTTACCAGTTGGAGAAGGGAGTTGTGGTGGAAGAAGAGGGGTTGGAAAGGGGAATCGCCGTGTAAAATGGCCAAGGGCTAGCCTGCAAGGGAAGAGGGTTCGAGAGGCTTGCCGGTGGTAGAAAAGGGGCTTGCTAGAGATGAAAGAAGTGGCAGCAATGGAGATTGGAGGAGATGGTTGAAGGTTGGGAAGTTATTAGGATTTGTATTTGAGAAGATGATGGTAGGTTTGATATTATTTTGTGTAATGAGAGAATCAAAATTTTATACTTTTGAGAAGGACATAAAAAGACAACGTGTAAAGAAACCTGTTGTGGTGTAAGTAAAATTACTCGAGAGTTAGGTTTTGCATTTCATACCAAATTATGAGATTAAATCACAATGAGATAGAGTGTAATTAATCCATTTTCTCGGAGTGAGAAACTCATTTTGAGAAAGAAGACGAAACTCACAAATTTTAAGAAATTTTTTTGAACAGTTTTTGTGTGTGTGTGTGTGTGTGTGTGTGGAGAAATTTGAGTAGAAACAAACTTCTCATAATTTACACTAATTTTTCATTCTCAATTTTTTGTTTTTCGACAATAATATATAATTGTCCTAACAAGTTTCTATAGATAGTGTCAGTATTTTAATTGATCATGAGGGTATTCTAATACTTCATAATGCTATTTCAAGCTTGTAAATTTTCGTACAAACATCCTATTCAATCTTATGTGGTCTAATATTTTCCATTTTTCATATTATTTAACATTTCACATTGCTGTGCACCAAAGAATTTACCTGAAAAAAGAAAAAAAGAAAAAAGAACATTGTGAATTAAAATAAATAAAAAAAGCCACGCTTCTCTCCAGTGCACTTCAGGAGGCAAGTGAATCCCACAGCATCTGTAGAGATGCTGTGAAACCCACAAGCCTCTCCCAACAAAACCACCATCCTAAAACATAAAAGTAGATGACATCATTTGAAAAGTTGACTATTTTAGTAAATTATTTTAATTTTTAATTATTTTAGTAAGTTAAAATAATTGTGTTTGAAAAGAAAATTAAATTTTTTATAATTGGATGTAATATTTGTGAGACAAAAAATAAAATAATTACGAGCTTGATGTGGCATTTTATCTTATTGACTATTTTAATCTATTTTGCCTTTTTATAGATATTAGCCAAAAATAGCCCAAACCCAACTTGCCAAACACCCCCATATACCATCTTGTTTTCAACAAGTCTGAAGATCATCTAAAATTTTATGAAGAAAAAATGAAACTGTTTACAACATTCATCCACCTTTCAACAAATAATTTAAGGCCATAACAATAGCCTCTTCAATCCCCATGATTAAATTCTCAATGGTGAAATGAAATCAATTTCAATGTTTTAAATTTAAATAGGAAGGTCTCGAGAAATGTTGGGATACCTTCTACAATGCCAAATCTCCAATCAAGAGGGCTCCCCCTGCTGAGAAACCCAGAACCGTCTCCGCAAACCGCAACCGAAAATGTTCTAATGGGGACAGACTTGTCCAGAATACAAATTGATCACTTCCAATGGGTGATTAAGAAATGCCTGTACAAAGAACCGGCATATTAATCAGTATAATAAAATAAGCATTAAGTTAACTAGAGCAATCTTGTCTCCGATAGTCAATGCCACAGTTTGCTACAGAAACCGTTTCGTGGCCTCTTGCTGGATATGATATCTGAAAACGAGTCAACCAATTGTGCTGCTAAGCTACTTGGATCGTCAATTAGGGTTTGAATGAAGGTGTTGACTACCCTGCGTTCCTGCTCTGTTGATCTCAAGCTAAACCATGTTAACAATTTAAGCCTAAATTCCTGTTTAATGTGACCTTCACATTCCAGCCATCGAATGATCTTCACACAATATTCAAAATTCGCATCCAAGCACCCCAATCCATTGGCTATTCGGACTGGTGACCCATTTATTAGAGTGCTATTACAGTCGTGTGTCTCTTCATTTGTGGTTGCCACCCTTTTCCTGCACAGTTCTCCCCGGGAATAGACAGCTGGCACTTCTCCGGTTACCCCATGGGTCCAATTCTGGGAGTCACCACTACCATGTGATCTTGCTAGACCATTCTTCTCGATATCACGAGAAACGGCATCATCATATGCCTCAACAGCTTGACCCAAAGTGCATCCATTTTCTTCATCCCTAGAGGATTCAAAAGGTGGGGTTAGCTCCTCGTTTAGATCAGGCACCGAAGCAATGTTTAAGTCGAGCCCACGTGAAACAAATGGCAACTCATCTTTGGGAGTTTCACTAGGCTTAATCGTATTGTTTACTCCATTCCATTCTTCTACATCTATGTCGGAAAAGCCCTCAAAGCAGCCTTGTTCTTGAGCCCAAGCAAGGTGGAGGATCTTCCCCAGGTCTCGGACCTTGAATGCAGAAGAAGATCCGAGGGCTGTTGTAGTCTTAGGTTCCCTCATGGCATCAGAACTTTGGTCATCGTGGGGATTCTCATTCTTGTGTTTCATAGCAGCCGAGCTGGGATCTTTGTGAATTATCTCCACACTCTTGGTGAAACACTTAGCCTCCGAATGACCAAAGTCACCGGTCTGTGTGTAAGAAATTATCCGAAAGGAGTACTCCGTGCAGGGTTGTAGATTGGATATCAAAATCCTTCGTTGAGCTCGGGGAAATACACGGATAGGCTCTTTCAGGTGTGTCTCCTCTCTATTCTTACAATACCATAGCTTGAATCCTTTAATATCATCACATGACACTGCGGGCAATTCTATCAAAACAATCACAACCGAAGAAGATGTCACTTCCTCAAAGTGAAATCTGCAAGCTGCGGGAAGTGAGCCCTCTGCCAAAGGGGAAAGAGAAGAAAAAACAAAATGTCATGTGAATGAATATCGTATAATTCTTTTCGGCTCCGTTTGATTAGAAAGAAAAAAATTGTGGCAAGTAAAAATAGTAGAAAGTGAAGTGAAAGAAAAGAAACAAAAAAATTTCTTACAAACATTTGATTATGATGAAAATTTTGCAAGAAAAATAGTGAAATTTAGAATTCTAAATGTAAATAACCCCTTGCATGAACAAATTTAAATTTCTTGTGTTTTCTATTTTTGCAGTAATTAAAATCTAAGTTGCCATGCTAATATCACTTGTACACGAAAATTAACTTTCTTGTAGTTTCCACCACTTTCATACTAAACAAGCTCTAAAAATCTTATTTTTTTCCCTTTCCGTCATTTTCCACACTTCCATCCTAACAAAACTCAGCCTTCAAGAAAAATTAGAAGGAAAGACGGAAAAATTTTCATTGGTAATTTTACCTATACAATTCGGATTTGTGTTGGAAACAGCGGCCAGCCATTCATGTGCTTTGCCGATTGCAAGAGAGCAGAGTTCCTGCACTTCACCAGCAATAGAGAGTCTGCTGACAATGCTCCGTGCCATCTTGGTTGACACTCCGTTCACCGGACCCACCTCTGTTTCTAATTTGGCCTTTGCATTTCTAACAATTTCGTGAAGTTCTTTAAACTTGGAAGTCCCATCCAGGAGCCTGTAACTCAAGAATATCCTATAACAGAGGACATCGACCCGGCGAGCATCCTTTGCTATAATAAGTTGCTTCTTCCAACATCTGGCAGCATTAAAATAGTTTACACAAATTAGGCTCAAAAAATACTAAATGGAAATCAAAGTTACTTGCAGTTCACTGCTGTCTACTTTACTCATTACCAATCAATTTGATTTATTAAGACAGCGCATTCTGTTTTAAAATGAATTTTTCCAGCAAATAAAACACAAGTTTACTACATAAAGTGATGGCAGGTTACTCTTTCCACGCCAAACAGATTGGTGGAACAAAATTCATCTGTATTACTTCAGGGGTAAACATATAAAATGCTAGAACCAACAAGATATTCATAAAAATATTACTAGAAAAAAATTAAGCTGAAAATCACATAGAAAAGCTGGTTAATAGCGAGTTAACAAACTGAGGCATGAATTCTTTTGCTGGAAGACAACTTTGATGAATAGACCCAAACTAAGCAAGTTTCTAAGCCTTTTATTTTCCATTTCCTCTTTTTATTTTTAGTGGAGGGAAAGGGTGGGGGCTCTCTAGTCATACTATCTTGTGCTAAGTAGCAAACACACGACACAACACGGACACGACATCACACAATGATTTTCAAAAAATGTAAAAGACAATACGTTTGGGGCAAGTTAAAATTTAAAATTTTTATAAATTTATTATATGTCAAATATATGAATAGTCCAGTCAAAGATAATGGGGGGAAAAAAAAAACAAAAAAAAGCAGCAACATAACAATATTAAACTAAAAATCTACATATTCCATAACTTAAACATCAAGATATCATTAACGTAACAATTAGATTTTAAAGAATACAAAACAATTATAGAACAATAATATAAACATGATATATTCATCTTATAATTGTTTCAAAACATATTTGCATCCGGAAGAACACAAAGCATTGTTAGTATGAAGAGATTCATTACATAGGCCATGCTTAGAGGGTTCAACAAGTGTCCGAGAATGGTCTATAAAGTGTCCAATATTATAAATTTATAAATTTTAATTAAGACACGCTGAAGAAGTGTCGGACATGTTTTTAAAAGTGCCTGCAGTGTCGTATTCGACACAGATGTCCGACACCACACAGCTCTTCCATAGAAGTGTACATGCTTCTTAGATACTGTGCATTATAGTTTATTTCATGTCATAAAATGCAAGCAAGGAACTCACCCAAGTATCCCTGAAACTTTACCACATGCTGCGCAGCAATAACTCCCATCTAGCTGCATCAATTGCCCAAGATCAACAACCCCCACCTTTTCATGTTGGAGCGCACACTCAATGTGACAAGATAAACCACAAGAGTCTCTGTTATCAGATTCAGATGTGCACACCAACCAAAGACTCGGATCCTTGTTGTCATCGAATAAGTGACAGATGCAACAAGAGCACCTCTTGCAGAATATGTCATCTATGGACAGAACGGCTTTACATGCAGAATTTTTACAGACCCATGAATTTGAACATCCAAAATCCGGAGACTGCTCTGTGGCAGGTGGAATTCGAACAGGGTTTTCCCCCTTTCTCTGATGTTTCCTGGAAGAGGGCGTCACCTTTGGACTTAAAGACGCTTTTCTTGGTTCCTGATTCTTCAGAATTTTCTTATTCTTTGAAGGGTGGTCAGTCATTTTGCACTTAGATGAAGCTGTGAATTTCTTTTCCTTATCAAAGCAAGTTCGGAAAAGGTCCTTTTTCAGATCAGATTTCAAAAACTCATGGAGAAGTTCTGGACTTCTTGAAGCATCATCCGAGTGTCCATTTTTCTCGGGGGTGCTTTGCACACTGGAAGAAAGACTTTGAACGCCAGAAACTGGTAGCAAAAACATACCGAATGTAAAGTGAGAAAATCTAAAGCAAGGCCATAAATACAGAAACAAAATTAGCTACTAAAAATACAAATTTTGGCATCACAGAAACAAATTGATATGGTGAAAAAACAGAAATAAAAATGTCCAACTTTGAAAGTAAACTTTGATGTTCATAATGCATGCAACAACACATCTCTTCTTCACAATTCAACTCGTATCAATTTTCTTCCTTGCCCTACATATATTAAAGCCTCAATTATCACCAATTGACCTCATCTGAGGTACTGAAATCGTTAAAACGGGACTCATTTGTCAAGTTGGGAACTTAATCCAACATCTTCCTTGTGGATCTCATCACTAACGTTAACTCACCTAGTATATTCACTTGCAAGCAAAAAACAGCTCTCTTATGAAAGCATATCATCTCTTGTTCACAAACATCCTTCTCCATCACATCTAGATGGTCTTACACTTGCTTTACAATAATTTCCACTAAGTTTCATTGCAACACTTTTGAATGTCATATCCTGAAATACGAGCACTAGCTTCATTTATTTAAAATATCCTCATGATCTCCCCTGTGGGGATATTTGAGCAATATATTAAGTATGTTTAATAGTCTAAAATTTACACAAGTCGAGAGAACTGGAAAGAATAGAAAGAGAAGATAAAAAGGAATCACATGGAACAAAATACACACATGGAGAGACTAGCACTGCTGGATCAACCAATGGATGAGATCAAGTACAATTATGTTGACCATCTTGCTAGTCGATTTGGAACTGCACAGGTCAATAACACCATGCTTACACAAATAATTTATCAGGAATTTTGGTAGGCAAATAAGATCACTTGCTCTCCCATGAGTGATAGGCACACTTACATTGTGATAGTATCATGACACCAAACACAATAACAATCCAAAATTACTATCCACAATCAATACAAAAAAGATTAACTCTCGTCATAAAAAACAAAAATATAAATAAGCAAAAGTTAATTCTCATCTATCTCAAGTTAAATCATATGAGAAACTATCTAATTTCAATGTTCCATTCATGAACTAGCGTCTACAGGTATTGTTGTTACTTTTCTTCCTATTTTACTTTTGCACCTGCCAATTATGTTGCCAAGTACAAATAAAGAACAAAAAGAAAAGGAGCTGTGATGGGATCAACTGATTAGATCAAAGAGACAATGATTGTAGATACATGAGTATTAAGCAATTATCATCACCATGGGTATAAGATGGTTATATCATGACCACGTGAGAGAAGGGAAGTAGAATGATTATCATGTTTTAATATGCTTCTCATAAAGAGAGAAATAAGCATGAGAGGAGTTGCATATCTTTTAGGATGCATGTAAGAAGATGATTTTCTCTAATGAATTGTAAGTGTGTTGTGTTCTGCAATCATACAGGCATGGGTTAAGTGTGATCTGCTGAACTGCAGATGCTGTCTTTTTGAAAATTAAATACTCTACACATGCAATGGGTTATGTTATGACCCTACTATAAAAGATGGAAGGTGCAGAGTACACTGCCACCGGGTTTTAAAAGTGAAAGTCTCAATAGCAACTGAAACGTGAACAAGAAAAATGAAAAACACCAATTTTAACAATAATGAAAATGAAAATCAGTAATTTCACTCCAAGCTATCCTAGATATACTATGCATAAAATCTTTTTTTTCCTCTTTACAGTAACAAATAATTAACAGAATAATGTCAGTAAATAAACACATATGTTTAAGATAAAAAAGGCAACTTAATTCAACCTGATAATTGAGCAGATTATTGATGATTGAAATCAATTCTATTTGTTATACTGATATCTGAATCACCAGTCTGTCGATACAACGAATGAGGCCTTGAAACAGAATACATCATACAATTAGAGCAATAATTTTGTAACATTGAACAGATCAAGAACTTTACAAAAATCAACACATCTAAATTAATAGCATAATAGAAGAAAAGAGATCTTATTGAAAAATGTAGATTGATTGGATTACCATTTAAAGAAGAGATTTCACAAAAGCAAAAACAGAGAGATCAAATCTTCTTACCATCAGAAACCAAATTATGCGAACAACCTCTGCAACAACAGAAACAAATGGACCGAAATGAAAAAATAAAAGGGGAAAAATGAGAGAAAAAAGAAAAAAATATTTTTTTTACGAAGAACATCAAACTGACAATACAACTTTACTCCTAGTGGAATGAAAAAAGAGGAACGGGGAAGATTTACTAAAGAACATCAATGCCGGAAAAAATCTACCGACTGATGTGTAGGAGCAGCCGCAGACTCAATGAAGTCGGCGGCTCGGTGCTGCTAGGGTTTCGAAAGGACCCTTTACAACCCCAACTCTCTATCTTGTATGACTTTTATACCCATAGTTAGGTCACTACTCATCCAATGGCATGAAAATTACACTTCTGCCCAGAAATAATGATCAGATCAGGTTATTAATGGATCGGATCACCTCATACCCAAATAGTTGATGGGTCAACTAGAAATATAATGTTAACAAGTCTCCAGTTCGAAACCCTGTAGAGAAAAGTTGGCAATTTGGATTGGATTCAGTAAAAATTCAATCAATTAACAGGCCTTTCACAGTGACAAAACAACCTCAATCCTTTGAAGACACCAACTACCACCTGTGGGATTAAAATATTCTTTTGATGAGGCCATGCCGTCAATTTTCTTTTCCCAAATCTAAAAGTAGGACAAAATTCATTTTACCCCGTGGTTTGAGGCTGAAGCACTTTACATCCTTGATATTTATTATATGTTATATATATGAATATATCATTCAAAAATAATAAAAAATGCAATATGACACTAATTCTTATAAATTTATATGGTTTTTGTTTTATTATTATATCTTAAGTTATTTTTTTCAAACTTATAATGAATTTCACCTATGTCTAATCAATAGACATGTATGTTTAAGCGATAAACACGTGTATCCTTCAAGTGTTCGGTTCTTTTAAAAAATTAAAAATAAGACGCGTTTTGAAGAGTGTCGAACACGTGTTGGGAAAATGTCCAAAGAGGGTCGGTGTTCGACATAGATACGTCACATTCTTAGAAGTGTCCGTACTTCTTAGTTTTGGACTAATTTGCAATCTAACATCTGTTAACTTTTAACCATCAAAAGACTATTCTACCCTTGTACAAAAATATCTATTTTTCTATTTTTTCTTCTATTTTAAACTTAATTTTAACTTAAATCTTATATTACTTGGTTATTTTAGTTGACTTTTTAATTTTTTATGAAAAGGTATGCTAAAAAGTAGAGAAAGTGATGTGACAACTTATAGTGACTTTGACTTTTTAGCTAAAATCTTAAGTCCCCAAACGAGGCTCTAAATTGCTAATTATTTAACCTAATATATAAAGTCATGTGTTAATTAAGGAAGCACCCACTGTTACTATGAATAAGGCTAAGCACTAAGGGGAAAGAGAAGGGGGTGGGGGGAAAGATTTGTAGAGAAGAATTTTTTTTTTTTTTTTTTTTGTTAATTAATTAAATTTCGAGTTTCATATTCAGTCTTGTTGTATTCATCACCCGTTTTCTATTTTTTCTTTTCTTTTTCTATATCATCATGCAGACTCGTATCAATCTTTTTTATGAAATTCAATTAACATACATTTGAAACAGACCCTTGTGTAAAACTCAATTGGCATTAGCTCTGTTATGAAGCAGAGCCACCAAAGCTTGTAAGACCCCATTAACACTTTTGAGACCTCCTTCGACGGAATTCGAACAAGACGCACATGTCATCCCCGTGAACCTGACTTGAATTCATTTCATAACTTCCTCTAAACCATCAAATCTCGCTGAATTCCCATCAAGCACCTCAAGGAGCCTCAAGTTCTTGAGGTCAACGAAGTCCTCACTAGAGGCCATGATCTTCAATTGTTTCGGTTCACCGACCACCATTGTTAGCTGTAGGCCCTCAAAACTTAACAAGGAGAAACCTATGTATATAAACGTATATACAAGACATATATATATATATATAGAGAGAGAGAGAGAGAGAAAGAGAGAGAGAGAGAAACCAACAGAGTTAGATAAAATTTAGACAGAAAAAAGAGAGTTGGCAGGAGTAAAGTTAGCTGGTTGGGGTTTGGGTAGTTATCAAGGTTTAAATGTGGAAGATGAAGATAGAATAGCTAGAAGGGTCATTTATGTCTTTTTATCAAACCATTTTTGCTGGGGAAACAAAAAAACGGAACTATGATTGTGCAATATTCCATCCATTTGAAAGAAAAATCAAACGGCTGCAAATAAGTCCCAAAACCACAAGAGGGCAATCTGCCTATATTTGAACCACAAGTGGGTAAAGTGCTCCAACCCCAAACCACAAAGGGTTAAATTAATTTTGCTCCTAAAAGTTTTGTACAATTGTGAAGCACCTATTGAAATGTTTTGAGAATGTCACAAAAGAAACATGATTGAACACTTTTCCATAATGCTTCAATAAGAGAACCCACATTATTTATGATGCTACCATGAACGTTGAACATTCACGAGCAAATAAAATTTTCATTTATTTATTTAGTTTTTAGGGGGGATAGAGGTTGAATGTAAGGCTAGTGTCACTTGGTATGTAGATCATATGAGTAATGGGAACAGCAATGCAAAGGAAGTATGCCCTGTAATCTAAAATGTGGGCAAATTACCATAGATTAAATAGTTGAAATGTGTAGTAACACTTCTTCCTATAACACTTCTCTATTAAAGCTCATTAGTTATGTGTTTACCTTTGGAAACTTGTCATCAAATTTAAGTTCAACTTATGTTTCAATTCACTTTCATGATGCTTCTCTTATAAAGAAGAAAACTAAATGATAAAAAAAAACTCCAACCCCTAAATCTGATATTCTAATATTCTAAACTGTCAGTGTCACATTTTGGAATGTGTGTTCTGACATACAAATCACTTTAGGAGTATTAGCTTTTGAGCAAATTGGAGTAGTTAATAATCTAACCCTCAAAATTTTCTTGAAATAGTTTGTAAAGGCTCGTTAAAGCTACGGCATCCATAATTATAGATTATCAAGGAAACATGCAGAAGAAAACTTAAAATGCCACATCCTAATGATATAAAACGGTTGTCAACAATAGAGAAAAATTCCACACCACCTCTATGACAGGTTTGACACCAGTCTACAGAAGGTTTATAGATCATTATTACTAAAGATTTCCAAATATTGTTTATAGATTTCATTAATGGCTTCTCTATAACTTTCCATGTAGGTTCCGCACACATTTTCTTGCTGCTTTTTTGTCTATCTAGATGTAGCTACTCAACAATTTTCAGTTTCCATTTAACTACAAAATACATCCCATGGATCCCGTCTATCACAACAATGTCTAGTCACATCGCCATATCTTGGCCAAGGTCTGCCTAACATAACACAAGCATAGTATTACATTATCCAACCATCAAAATGTGATGAGAATTTCCCTAATCAAAAATTATAAAGATATATATATAAAGAGAGAGAGAAAGAAAACAAATGGAAAAAAAAAAAATTAAGCTTCTTAGCATATGATTATTTCACTAACAAATGCCCAAATCTTAAATAGTGATGAATTCTCATGCAAAAGGGGAATCAATGCCTTAGTAATATGTAATTCCATTGCATTATGCTCCATCTAACAACATTTATAGTCTATCAAGTCTTTCCATAAAACCACTAATATCCATGGCTTTAATTCTTTCTCAACGATGCTTCAAAATTGAACCCTACAACCCCTTTGCTGTAGTTATTGATCCTCAACACAAATTATAAACCATTTCAACTGCCATGTTACCACATTATCTTCTATTGTTCCCGTGATTCTAAGCTTACATTCTCATGATCCCCAATAACAAGTCATTGACAAATGCCCTTGATCAAATACAAAGATATTTAGTTCAAAACAAAAGCAGAATGCATATTGTAATTATTTTCTTTCTTCCTTTCTTCTTCATTGGCATCGAAATTGATTCTAACATTTACAAACTTCATTGTTCTTTCAAGCCAGATATTCATAAGGTTTCTAACATTTAGTTCAAAACAAAATCAGAATGCATATTGTAACTTTCTTTCTTTCTTTCTTTCTTCTTCATTGGCATTGAAATTGATTCTAAGATTTACAAACTTCGTTGTTCTTTCAAGCCAGATATTCACAAGGTAGAACTTCACAGAATAACCCCAAGAATTATAACATAATAAAATGGTTGTGAAAGTTTGCCCATAAAAGAGTTATGTATTGGAGTAGGGTAGTGGAATGTAAGTATGAGTGTGCTTGGTAAGAGTTGAACATAGGAAGAAGTTACTCTGTCCTATAGTGTTAGTTTGTGGTACGATATTAAAAATAGGTAGAATTCTTCTTCTGTTCACCTTCAATTGTGGTAGGGAATGGGAAGCAAGTGAGATTCTAGAGTCACGGTGATGCAGGGAGGAAAGTTTGAAGAAGAATGCAATTGTAGCCCACATTGCTCTTGATAGAGGGGCTATGGTGAGTGACTGCCTGAAGATGCACGATGGTCAGGTTTTTGGGGATATCGATCTTCACAGAGGGCTTAATGAATGGGAGATGGCAAAATAATTGGACTTCTTGAGCATCTTTGACCCAAATTGGTGATGGCAATGACTCAGAAAAATGGTTGATATCCTCCCAAAGAAACACGGACACGGACACAGACACAGACACATGACATGACAAGGATACAACACGGACACGTAGACACGGCAATTTTCAAAAAAATGCAGGACACGACACATTGGAGGCACACACAAAATATATAATTTTATAGATTTATTATATGTCATATATATGAACATGTCATTCTAAGACAATAAATAAATACAATATAACACTAACTTCTATAAATTGACATTATTTTTCTTTTATCATCTTATTCCAAGTTATTTTGTTCAAACTTATAATTAGTTTCATGTGTCTAGTCAATGGACACGTGTGTCCTCCAAATATCCAAAGAGTATCCGAAGAGTGTCCAAGTCCTAAATTCTTTATAAAAAATAAAAAAATAAAAACTAGGACACGTTTGAATGAGTGTCGGACACGTGTCGGGAGAGTGTCCAATAAGTGTCCGTGTCCGACATGAACACGACACGAATACGCCACCTTTTTAGAAGTATCTGCATTTCTTAGTATCCTCCTCTGGCCAATTTAGTGTGAAGTCTTTTGATGGCACTCTTGCAAGTTTTAGGTGTCTCCCTTCCCTTGCAAAAGGGTTTTGGGATACAAAAGGTCAGTATAAGGTGGATTTGTTTGTTTGGTGTGCTTCACATGAGAAGGCATGTGCATGATAATTGGTGCTACATAGCATGACAAGAGTATTGTTAGCCATCTTATTCATTGCTTGGTGGCTTGGGAGTTGTGGCCTTTGATTTTTGTTATGTTTAGTGTAGTATGAGTGTTACCTAGGGAGGTGAGGAAGCTTAAATTTCATGGAGAGAAGCTCAAATGAGGAGGAGGAGGAGAAGGCTTGAAATTGGGTTTCATTGGTGTTAATGTGATTTGTTTGGCACTAAAGAGGACATTTGATGTACAGTTGTTAATAGATCCTTTTCGTATACAGGTTGCACCCCCTTGGTGTCTCTGTTTTAATAAATTTTTTGTACTTGAAAAAAGTCTTTATTCCATTGTGTCTTCGCCTATGTGTCAACTTTCTACCAAAGAAATGAGTAGAGAACATAATAAACCTCTGTGGGGATCTCCTGAAATGTTTAAATTTGACATGAAGCGGCAGAGAACAACCAAATGAAGAAACCAATGAAGAGAAAACCACCTATAGAAAATGTAAAATAAACCAGCAGACTGAAAGCAGCTACTAAGAATCACTACTTTAGCATATCGATGAGGAAGATAGAGGCAACATATTTGGAGTGACAATGAATATTTGGAAATCACTTGTTTCTAATCTTTTGTTTGCTTTGACAGGGAAATGGATATCCAAGATCCCAGGAAAATGGATTTTCAGATCCTCAATCAATTGAAAGGAGGAATTTCAAGGTGTCAAATTCAGTCCAAAACTCCTTAGGAGGGAAGTTCATAAATCCTCATATATAATTAGCCAAGCATAAATTCAGCATTCCCACCACAAGCACACCATATAGCTCTCATTACTGCCACAGCGACAGCCACCACCACCACCACCCCAATTTTTTGGATTGTAATGCATATATTTGAACTCCAAATATTTCAGAACAAGGAAGTTTCAATCCCTTGAATAATTAATATTTCCCGCAAAACTTTTATATCATAATGTAGAGTATCCATGGAAAAAAAATCAAGACAAGAGATCCTCTTCTTAAAAGAGGTGATGTGCCTGTATTAACTTCCCTCCTCAGAACTTCGTGAGATGTACTTCAAAAAAAGTCATCCAAAGTTCCAAACTAAACAGATTGCAAGTATAATACCAAATTCAGTATTCTAATCAACATCATATAACAATAACTTCCTCTTCTATTTACTATCATGATGCAAGTAACAAATAATGCAGTAGCAGTAGATAAGCAGCGCAAATATAGACATAAGCAACAACAAAACGCGGGATGGGGGATCAAGGTCTTACCTTTAGCAAAAACTTTATCTTCCAAATCCATGATTCTGAAGTTAAGAAAGTTCAAGAGACCCTCCCTGTGAGAATTAGTTGGAATGGAAACCTCAGCACGATCATACATCCAAGTTTCAACTCATTTACTTCTAGTAATTGAAGTTAAAAAAAAATTATGGAACAAATTTTTAATGAGGGAGAAGAACTTTCATTTTGGTCCAATAATTTGGATAATATGAGTGGATGCCAAAGGCAACATGCTTTCTTTACACTGTAATGTAAGTATTAAGTTTTAATGAAATTGAGTTCTAGACTGCCTTAGATTAAAGAAAGAGTGGCAAACTAAGCAACTAAAACTTAATATGACAGAAGCAATGTTTTAAAAATCCATTTAATACTATTATTATAAACTTTCACATTCATACCATGTAAACCTCGTAAAACGTAGAAACTTTGCAGAAAAAAACTAGGTTTTGGCAAAGAAACTAAGTTATGGAATAATTATATTCTTCAAAGGGTGTGAAAAAAAATACATAACCTCAAAATTCGAGATAATAAACAATATCTACTTCAACATCACAGCAAAAAAAAATTAATTAATATTTTGACCCAAAAAATATATTATTGAAATATTCAATTCAACAGCACTGTGAAATAACTCATTCGGATAAAAAAAAGGAAACATATCAGTTGAGGCAAGCATTAAAGGATGCCTTATAAAGCTCTCATAATGTATTCCGGGGAACATTTTATAGACACTTCAATTCAACTATCTATCACCAAAATGCTTCAAAAGAAAAATAAATAGATAGATAAAGAACTTTAAAAGGTTATCCATAAAAAATATATATATATATTGCTATGGAAGCAAATACAAAAATTTGATTTTGTTTAATTTCTAGAGATGACAAGCTAGTAGTTAGTGGAGAAACACATGACCCAGGAAATCAACAGCAATAATATTAGGAAATTAAGTACACCAAAAATAGACAGTAATAGGTACCCAACTAGAATCCTCACAAAATCTCACTCACGATGTTTCCCATGGTTGTTAACAACTGTTCACAACAAACTTGAGTATACGAGGAATTACAATACTAGAAGAAACAAAAGAAAGCCACACATGGCCACACTCAGTTCTGTGTGTATTAATACTTGTGAGTGCAGCATACTGTCCATACATGCAGCCCCATTTTGATGGGATCCATACTGCAAAGATCTGGAAGGGCTCTCAAATGTAAAGCTAACTCTTATGCCCATGCAATGTGGAACAAAAAAACATACAAAAATTTAACATCAAAGGGGCATAAACCCATCAATTTTGAATATTAAAAGAAGAAGAAATTTTGAATTAAATACAATTTAAAAAGGCAAATGCTAAAGAGTGCCCTGTGACAACGTTTAATATTGGAATTGAGGTGAAAAGTGTCTTGACAATAGATGACAAGGTTAAAAGGTGTATTGATTTCAATAAAAAGCGCATCGTGTTCTTCCCTCTTTTGTACTTTTCTTGTGCCAAAAAAAAAATCCGTCTCCAAATAGCATATTCATTAAGTTGTAATTCAGTCATTGAAGAATAAAAAGACGTGCTTGCTCTAAACATTAGAGCCAATCTGAAAAGAAACCAGTTAAATCAAGCACAACACATGCATTTAGCATTTATTTTATTTTTTTTAAGAGTCATTCAAATACTACAGTCCAGACACCAATCAAATCAGAACAAAAACCAGGACAACACACATGCATTTAGCATTTCTAACAACCATTCAAACACTAACGTCCATACATTGCGCAAATGAACCATAATATTGATTTACACACACAAGTTCAACAGACTCCCTAGTGTCATTCAAATTGGGGCAACACACACATGTACACCAACCCAATACACACATAAATTCAGGCACAAAATGCCAAGAAAATCAACACAAACATACACAACACACATTACAGACAAACTACTACACATAACTAATCAATATACCTGTAGAGAGAGAGAGAGAGGAATCCGAGGAAGGTACCTGGGAAGAATGTGAGGAGAGAGAAAGAGGGGGGGATCTAGGGTTTCGATGAAGAGGACCACAAAGAACAGAGAGTTTAGTGAATCTCTCTCTCTCTCTCTCTCTCTGTGTCTGAGAATGGGAACTTCTCTGTTGGTAGTTTGGGTTGTGACTACGAACTTCTCTCTGGAAATTGCTTTTGAACTGAGAGAGAATTGCGGAGAGTCACGCGCGCCATTTCTGATTCTGAAAGTACGTGAACCACTTTTTTGGATTCTGATTCGTGCGTGTTCTTCATTCTCCTTATGAGCATGTCAAAATATACATAAATTACACTTTTGCCTTTTTTTATGTTTGTTAGTACTTTTTTTTCTTTTTTTTTTTTTAAGTTTCTTTTTTTTTTTTAAGTTTTTTTTTTTCACTTTACCTTTTATGTTCAAATTTTTTTTTAGTTTATTTTTAAAATTAATTTTTATTTAAAATTAAATAAAAAAATATCATAATAATTGCTACATAATATAAAAAATATATTATTATATTAGGATTTAAGTTTATATAGTAAATATTTTTATGTTATGTGACGATTAATGTGTTATTTTCTATCTAATTTTTAATAAAAATTAATTTTGCAAGTAAATTGAGAAAAATTTAAAATATAAAAAATCAAAGTGAAAAAAAAAATAAATTTTAAGAACCAAAGTAAAAAAATAGTCAAACATGAATAGAACAATGTGTACTTTATCCAATTATACTTGAATTCTTTTTCTCTTGTTTATTTTACTAGTGGTTGGCATAAAAGTGTGCGATTTAAATAAATAAAAGTAAAATAAATATTTATTATATATTGTGTATTAGTTAAGTAGTAACAATCTTCTTTAACAAATCCAAGGTTTAAAGTTCAAATCAACTCCTCTTCCATTTATTTATTTTTTTAAAATAAAAAAAAAAAAAAGACACATAGCATAAGAAAAAATAACCAAAGGTTTTGACACACAGTCTCACATTCAGTTAAAAACTAGTGCCTCATTTGGCAAATTGATTTTTTCGTCTAACACAATCAAAAGTCTAAAAAAAAAAAAATTAAAATAATCAATCCACTTGAATTACACTTATTTGGTAAATGGTTATTTTATTTGACTTTTAAATTTTTTATAAAAAATAAAGAAAATGATATGATAACTTATTATTATTAAGTGAAACAACACCAATAATACTCATGAATAAATCTAAATACCGATTTTTGGTGATAAAATATTTTACTATCCAAATCAACTCTCTATAATATGTTCAAACTCAAAAACACTCCTCATACGAAAGGGAAACAAATTGGAACAAAAGAATATGGAACAATCGAAATAGAGGATTTTGTGTGCATATTTATAATACTGATCTCATCTCTTACTAATGCATCGTTGGCCTGTACTCTTAGGTGTTCTTTGATAACACTCCCTTTTTCAGTTTTCTTTTTATATTTATAAAAATTTTAAAAATTCAAATAAAAATTTATTTGGTAAAATTTTTAATTTATAAATCAATAGTCTCAGTTTATAAATTTGGCCAAAAAATGAAAACACAAAAAATGTGTTTCCATTTTAAGTTTTCAGTTTTTTTTTTAATCACCCAACATTAGCCACCACTCGCCACCATTTTCCACCACCGTCTTCCGCCACCACCACCCACTCGCCACCACCACCTACCTCT